CCCGCGGGCTCAGGCAATCCACTCACCTCAGCCTCCCAAAGGCGGGGAATTACAGGCTGAACCACCGAGCCCGGCTCTTTTTTTTTTTGAGTTGGAGTCTTACTCTATCATCCAAGCTGGAGTGCAGTGGCACACTCATGGCTACCCCAGTGTTGACCAGCTGGGCTCCAGCAATCCTTCTACCTCAGCCTTCTAAGTAGCCAAAACTACAGGCATGAGCTGCTGTGCCTGGCTAATTTTTTTTTAATTTATTAAACAGATGAGGCCTTGCCAAGTTGCCCAGGCTGATCTCGAACCTTGTGCGTACAAGCAATCCACTCGCCTCAGTCTCCCAAAATGCTGGGATTACAGGTTGAGCCACCGAGCCTGGCCTTTTTCTAAAAGTGATCAAGTCTTTGACTCAGGATGCACCCCCCAGTAAAATGGAAAAGTAAAGATGCAGAGGGTATGATGGTGATGTGTCAAATAAAATCTAGGAGAATAAAATTCATCACCCAGATTAAATGACAAGTAGACACTTTCCTAATTATCTGTTATTGCATCTTGAAGCAACTAGAAACTACTAATGAATGAATAAATAAAGGAAGCGTTTTTCCTAAATCTTTGAAGTTATAATATCTGGAATTTCTATAGCACTCTTTTTTTTTTTTTTGAGTTGGAGTCTCACTCTGTCGCCCAGACTGGAGTGCAGTGGTCGCTCCCAACCACTGCAGCCTCAACCTGCTGGGCTCCGGCCATCCTTCCGCCTCAACCTTCTGAGTAGCCAGAATTACAGGTGTGCGCTACCATGCCCGGCTGATTTTTTTATTTATTGTAGAGATGAGGTCTTGTCAAGTTGCCCAGGAGGGTCTTGAACCCTCAGCCTCAGGCAGTCCACTCACCTCAGCCTCCCAAAGCGCGGGATTACAAGGTGAGCCACCGAGCCTGGCTATAGAACTCTTTATTTTTCCATAGAACTCTTTTAAGCCATCAATAAATTTCAGTTGAACAAATAAATAAATTAGTGAGGTGGCCAGGACAGTTTTTATACATCAAATAAAGGTTAAAATTGAGACTCAGGAGGATTTGGATTTAACCATGTTTATACTCAAGTGTAGGAAGTGCCAGGAAGGGGGACAACTTTTTTCTTCATCCTAAATCAGTTCTTCATATTGCACCACACTTCCTCTTTTTGGTGGATAAAATTTTATTCTAGGAAATCTCAGGTTGTATCCAAACTTTAAAAGACAAAATACAGCCGGGCTCGGTGGCTCAGCCTGT